ATCATAATATCATTACAAGATATTTTCGAATTTTATACTTAATTATTAAGATTTTATGATATTATTATGTGGTAAATGAGACAATATCTATTGTTTCATTATGACGAAGAAATTTACATCAAATATATCAATTTTATAGAAAAAAAAAATATGGTAAATAAAGAATATATCAATTTTTTGATATATTAAAATTTTTCCACTTTTTTTTAGTTTGTTCTCATATATATATATATATATATATTAATTATATTTCTATACTTTAAAACTTAATTTTTATAGGAGATGTACATAATTTTTTTTTTTTAATTATATTTTTTTTGTTAATTATATATATTTTTTATGTCATCATTAGGGAGTTGCTTTGTTTTCATGATTGCTTTTAAGTATGAATATGTCATTCTTCTTCTTTTCTTTTCTTATGTTATTTTTAAGATTTCGATTTGATGTTCACATATATTATTTTTATTTTCTTTAAGATATATTATTTATAAATTGTCGTCATTTTTAAAATTTTGATTAAAAAATATTTGCCTTAAATCTCTTGTAATTATAAGTTATGATTTGATTTTATCTATCATGTTTGTATATAAATATTTCATAACAATTTTATGTATATATATAATTTATTTATACATAAATATATAGATAAATATATGAGAATGCTGTGGGTCTTATGAATAGTATTGTTGTCGCTGAAATTCGTGGATGACGGTCGGATAAATTGGACCTATCGAAATTAACGCAAATCGAATTCTCCGGCCTAATCAAGAAAGTGTCCGGATTTGGTTTCGCAACTGGTAAATGAAGCACAACAAATTCACATTAGAAATATCGCATTAATTGGTTTGTGACTGAAATGTAAGTGACACAATCTAGTGCACTTGGAGTCACTCGTAGGAAAAAGAAAATTTGGAATTAAAATTAAAAAGGTACATATATAAATTCAACGTTGGATTTGGGATCAAATATGTGTATCGAATATATAATTAAAGTCATTATTTTATTCAGTCATATTATTTTAAGTGGTCTAATTAATATAATTAATTGACTGATAGGCTTGATTGTTATGGAATGAAAGTGCAGCTACCTGTATAATATTATTATTTTGGTGAGGTAAAAAATTAATAATATTAATTAAAGGTATAATTGTAATTATAATTATGTTTGCCTTATTATAAATAGACTAAGGTTAGGTCCCCGAGATCAACGCGTCGTAAAAGAGATCTCATTCTCCTTGCAGTTTCTGCTCCTCCTCACCCGTCAATGATAGAAAGGAAGCCGACACTCTGATCTTGGAAGACCAAACCTTTAATCATCCAAGATTGTATATGGCTTCATCCTCAGGTATGCTTCCACTTTAAGGATCGGGCATTTAAATTCAACATTGAAAACAATCAGAATTAAGAATAAAAAATTAATGCAAAAAAAGGAATATAAATTAAAAAGGAATTTATATCTATGCTATAATAACTATCCAATTTCATATGGGATTCTATGCTGAACACAATAATTCAGCATGATTGAATTTACTTAGCACCATTGATTAACGATAAATGTTTGAATTGACTAAATTATCCTTCTCTAATCAATAGTTAGTATTAATTTAAAAATCAGCATGTAATCCAAAACCATCCAATTTATCCACTTATTTCTCAACTTTCCAACTCTCTCTTATATTTCCTTGAATATGTAAAAATATTTTGGATCGGGCCAGTCGGACTAAACTTCTTCATGGGTCGCATGGGCTGATCTTCCGGATTGGGCTATCGCTCCTTATCGAACTTGAAAATTAGGGAATAATAAGTACATATATGTTTTAAAAATTGTTATTTATATTTTCTTTTTATATAAATGATAAGTACTTTATATTCTTATTATTATGTATTTTAATTTTTGAGAAATAATTGTTTAAATATATAGAATAAACTGTTTTTTAGTCCCCTAACTGGACCTCTTTATCATTTTAGTCTCCTAAGTGGAGTCTGTCGCAAATTAGTCTCATAAGTGAAAAAATTTCGTTGTTTTAGTCCTCCGACGCCAGAGACGCCTGCTTGGCTTGCCGGAGGGCACGTGTCTGCCAGGTCAGCGACACCTAGCGGACACATGGATTTTATTTTATTTTTTTAATTTATTTTTAATTTTATTTGCCTTTCTTAATTTTTTTTATTTGGTCAAATTGAAAAAAAAAATAATTTTTTTTTTTAAAAAAAAAATTAAAATCCACGTGTCCGCCAGGTGTCGCTGACCCGGCGAACACGTGGCTTCCGGCGAGCCACGCGGGCGTCTCCAACGCCGGAGAACTGAAACAACGAAAATTTTTCACTTATAAAACTAGTTTGCGACATGCTCCACTTATGAGACTAAAATGATAAGGGACTTCAATTATGATTAAAAAAAAAACAGTTTACCCAAATATATATAGAGTTATATTTGGGATTATATATTCATATTTTGTTTCTTAAAAAAAAATTAATTTAGATATTTAACTAATTATATGTTTTTATGTTGTCATAATTTACATAAATATTCTTACTAATATTGAAGTGAATAATGAAAATGATGAAAGTAACAAATATTTTTTTATTTTTCATATATAATAAAGAATTCATGTATTTATTTTGTTATTTCTAAATATATATTAATATCTATTTAATATTTTTATTTTATTATATATTGATTTATTCTAATATATTTAGTGTTTATTATCAATATTATATTATATTTTAATTAAAAATATATATATTGTATAAATCAATTAATAATTTAATTCAATTTTTATTATTTTTACTCATTTGACACTATTTATTTTTTAAAAATATCACATCAAATACACTTTTTTTTTCTCACAAAACATCAAATCAAATATTAATTTTTTACTTTTTCTAAACATTCAAATTTCCAAAAACCTCCGTCTAAACAAATCTTTAAATTGTATATCCGTACGTACCATTATATAATGATAGAGATTTGATTATTTTTGATGTATTTTACAAATGTCAAAATAAATTTATTCTACTTAAAATATATATATATATATAATAAATCATCATCATAATCAATACATGTAACTTTTACCTAAATATTATTTATTATAACTTATAATAATATATAAAATGATTTTATCTATTATAATTATATCTCGTATACATGTGTGTTTTTTAGTAGGTTTGATTAAAAATTTGAATATAAAAAATGATAATAGAAGTATGAACTTAAAAGTATTACCTAAATAATTTTAGTTTATTTTTCGTTGCGAATCATTTTACTAATATTTACAAGATTAGATATATTATATATATATATATATTATGGTGATATTGTTAGGGTGTTGATTTGGTCAAATCAGCATCATGCTGACTTAGTCAAATCTACGAACTAGCCTGAAAAAATTAGCAAATCATTACACAGAAAACATCACAAAGTTAGCCCATTAATAATTAGCAAGACAAATAGCATATATTGTGTTATATAATATGTTATATATTATGTGATGACTTGCTATATTTTTTTATAGACATTTGCTAATTGGTCAAATTATTATTGTGTTGAAACAAAATATATTTTGCTAAAATTAGGATATATTTTACTATATATAATTATATAATATACTATTCAAATATATGTTATATTTTATATCATTATTTGTTATTTTCTTTATAAACTTCTGCTTATTGGGTCAAATCAGCACGATAACTGGAGTGATATTTTATCTATATTACTTATGTTTACTAATTTTAACATATTGTTGGACATGAGTCCAAACCCACCTGAATGTGAAGGAGACTCAAAACCAAAAGTGGAGCCAGAGCTCATTGGCCACGAAGCTGCTCAACAGCAATGGAGCTTTAAGCCTCGGAGCCAAAGACTGATGCCTCCACAGAGCTGAAGACAGCAACTTTCATTAGATTGTGGTGCTTCCACAGGGCCGAAAGCAGCAGCCTCCATGGACCTTAGGGTAGTAACTCCTTGGACTATGGCTCCTCTATCGCGGAACAATGTTTCCATAGGATCAAAAATTGTTGTCTCCATTGGGTTGAAAACAACTTCCTTCATTCGACTGCGATGCTTCCACAAAGTAGAGGAAAGTTGTCTCCACAAGATAGAAAGCAACAGCTTCCATAAATCATGGGATAACTACCTCCATTGGCCCTGAGTTAATAATTTCGTACTAAACATTAGTGGAGGGTCTATGCACTTTTATACTTTATTCAAAAAGCTCCATGGAACAAGCCAACAAGAGGAAAACCGAAGATTCCATATAAGTCGAAGCTTTTGGGGACACATCCCCGTGGATCGGCTAGGAGTACGACGGAAACAAGTCGGAGTAAGCGACAGATCTAGTCTAGAGGCAAAGGAAGAAGTTCGGAGTAAGTGGAACCCGGTTCAAAGGCAATGGAAGCGGTTGGGATTGATGGAAGGAGGTTACCAAGCGGTTGATGGAAGGAGGTTACTAGGTGGTTGACGGAAGGAGGTTACTAGGTAGTTGGGAGCTAATGGAATGAGGTTACCAGGCGGTTGAGAGTGGTGGAGGAATAATTGGAACTGCTCATTTTAGTGGGAATAGACGGTTATTCTATCTTAGAATTAAAACTAGGAAAAAACACATCACACACAGGCACAAGAAGATGAACTCGCATATTTCTCTGTTTCTTTTTCATGTTTTAGTTCCTGTTTATGCATTTTAATTTGAATTACATGCTTTTATATTTCTAGCATATTTTTATTTTGTTTTCCAGTAGATTTATTCGAGTTTTAGTAGATCTTAGTTTAAATCCATCAAAATCGGTTGTTTAGGCTTGAAGCCTTGTTTAAGATCGAAGCTGTGCAGGCTCCATCACAGGAGCCGCCTCCAATCCGACGACGGACAGGCTCTTTGGAGTACTTTCAGAACCCACACCGACGAATCGACGAACGGTCTTGGAACCTCCTAATTTTAGGTTCCAACAATTGGCACGCCCAGTGGGACCAAAGTCGGATTTTTCAAAGAGTGATGTCAAGGTTTACATGGCGTTAATTTGTACTGACTGAAAAAAGCTACGGAATTGTTGTAGAACATCCAATGCTTCAGACCTTAGGGCCGGGGCAGACAAGATCAGGCTGGAACCAACAGCCTGCAGGAAGCTGGAAGCAACAACCTGTGGAAGGCTGGCAACATCTTGCGGAGCGCTGGAACCAATAGCCTGCGGAGGGCTGAAACCATCAGTTTGCGGAAGGCTGGAACCAACAGCCTGCGGATGGCTGGAGCCAACAACCTGTGGAAGGCTGGCAATAGCTTGTGGAGCGCTGGAGCCAACAAGCTGCGAAGGGTTGGAACCCCTTAGCCGTTAGAGTTTTGAAGAGCAATGTTGAGCCTCCACTAGGGACAAGCAAATTTTCAGCATTTGGCATGATCCCGCTAGGGTGATTAAGCGGACAACCTATGTGGAATGCGCCGACGCCGCTATGGGGATGTTACGGTCTGAACGTGGTTAATCTCCAATGGAAGGGGATCATCGAAACACAGGGGCAAAAAGGGCAGGCCACAGAGATGCAGCTGCCAACCTTCCATCACCAGGTAGCTGAAGTGCAGCCGCTGACACCAAATCAACGGGAGGCCAAGCCTCTAATGGACGTTGATGTCATCGTAGATTGCATAAGGAGGACATTTTCAAAAAGAAGGTGTGAAAAGAAGCCTACTGCCACTTTGAACGCGGAAGATTCACTTTCATACGAAAAAAAAACTGCAGGGGCAAAAACCCTAGATGTTGTGGAGGCTCCAGTCGAAAGGAGTCTGCGGAGGCAGAGGTTCTAGAAGCCATGGAAGCTCTAGATTTTGCGGAGGTAGAGACTCCAGAGGCTGTGGAGGCTCTAGTCGAAAAAGGAGTCTGCGGAGACAAATGTTCCAGAAGCCATGAAAGCTCCAGAGTTTACGGAGGCGGAGACTCCAGAGGCTGTGGAGGCTCCAGTCGAAAAGGAGTCTGCGGATGCAGAGGTTCCAGAAGCCATGGAAGCTCTAGAGCTTGTGGAGGCAGAGACTCGAGAGGCTGTGGAGGCTCTAGTCGAAAAGGAGTCTACGGGGGCAGAGGTTCCAAAAGCCATGAAAGCTTTAGAGCTTGTGAAGGCAGAGACTCTAGAGGCTGTGAAGGCTCCATTTGAAAAGGAGTCTGCGGAGGCAAAGGTTCCAAAAGCCATGAAAGCTCCAGAGCTTGTGAAGACAGAGACTCCGGAGGCTGTGAAGGCTCTAGTCGAAAAGGAGTATCCGGAGGCAGAGGTTCCAGAAGCCATGGAAACTCCAAATTTTGCGGAGGCTGAGACTCCAAGGACCATGGAGACTCCTAACGAAAAGGAGGATGTACGGGCAGAGACTCCATACGAAAAGGACTCTGCAGGGACATAGGCTCCAAAGACCATGGAGGCTCCATACGAAAATGAGGCTGTAGGGGAAGAGACTCCAGAGGCTATGGAGGTTCCATACGAAAAAGAGCCCGCAAGGGTAGAAGCCCTAGCGACTTTAGACGAAAAGGACTTTGCGAAAGCAGAAGCTTTGGCCACAAAATTAGCAAATGGAAAGACTTATTTGTGTTCGGCATTGAGGCTGACCAAAGAGTTTATTCTTTTTTCTAATACTATGTCAGCTAAAGGGCTTATGAAAGGCAGGCTTAGCACCCAGCCGTCAAAACCTTTGGTTCAAGACTGTCTAGGACCGAAGACACCCGCTAAAAAAGTCGTCTTCAGAAGAGTGACATTTGATAACGTCTCAAGTTAGAAGATAGAGAAGGTAAGACAAAGAATGATCAAGAGGGAGCTTACTTTCAGTGTCACCATCCCAAGTCCGAAAGCCTCAGGATCGGAAAAGAAGAAAGTATACAAAAGACCCAAGCCGAAGGCCATCGTAGCAGAAGTGAAAGTCACAAATGGAAAGCGGATTTGGACTGTTACCACGGTTGATCAGATCACCATCATTCCCAAGGCGACACAAAAGCCTCATATCGTGAAAGAGAATGAAAAATGGATTGTGAATGAGCTGAAGCTTTCCACTAGGGGGGCGCAATAAAGAGAATCACCAGGACTCAAAAGAGGCGACCTCAAAGAAAAGAGTTGAAGGCTCATATGGAAGAGGAGAGGTCACACGAACCATCTCTGAAAGAAAAATAGATGGAAGAACCTCCTCAAAAAAAAAAGAAGCAGGCTATAGAGCTGTTTCCAGAAAGAAAGCAGGTCATGGAGCTGCCAAAGAAGCAGGTTGTGGAGCTGCTTTCAGAGAGAAAGCAGGCTGTGGGGCCTCTTTCAGAAAGGAAGCAGGTTGTGGAACCGTTAAGGAAGCAGGTTCCACTTCAAGAAAGAAAGCAGGCTGTGGAACCCGTAAGGAAGCAAGTTGTGGAACCGCTTTCAGGAAGGAAGCAGGTTGTGGAGCCACTTCCAAAAAGAAAGCAGGCTATGACGCCACTAAGGAACCAGGTTGTGGAGTCTTTTTAAAAAATGAAGCAAGTGGAGGAGCTTCGGGAAAAATTCAAAGCTCCGGAAGAATTTCAAGAGTTAGAGGAAGAAGTTGTTGATGAGGAGTCTATCTTCGAATGGAGTGATGTGGCAACCATGATAGAATTTAAGAGGCTCGGGTCTGGCCAAAACCAACATGTCAAGCCTTTGCACATTCGGGTCTAAGTGAATGGCTATCCGCTTGACCAAGTTTTGGTGAATAGTGGAGCTTTTGTGAATGTGTTGCCAATTGAGACCCTATGGAAGTTCGGAAAGACTAGTGACGATTTGATTTCTACATTTGTACGAGTTACCGATTTTATGGGAAATTCTTACAAACCAGCAGGTATGATCACTTCGAGTGTGCAGGTGGGGACAAAGGAAATATCATCAACTTTCATGGTGATCAATAGTAGGCCATTCTATTCGGCTCTCTTGGGACGGAATTCGATTCAGGCATGCAAGTGTGTGCCTTCGAAACTTCATCAAACGTTGATGTTTTATGATGGAAATGAAGTCCAAGAAGTGAAGGCTGAGGAGGATCCCTTGTCGACAGAAGTGACCACAGTTGATTCAAGCGAATGGCTCAAAGCAAAAGGACATTAGCTCAATGGAAGCAATCGCCCAGCCCTTTTGAGGAGGGCATTGTTGGACATGAGTCTAAAAGCACCTGAACGTGAAGATTTCATGTAACTCGAGGTTGTTGGGGACACATCCCCGTCGTTCGGCTAGGAGTACGATGGAAAAAAGTTGGAGTAAGCGACAGATATGGTCTAGAGGCAATGGAAGAAGTTCGGAGCAAGTGGAACCCGGTCCAAAGACAATGGAAGCAGTTGGGACTGATGGAAGGAGGTTACCAAGCGGTTGATGGAAGGAGGTTACCAGGTGGTTGGGAGCTGATGGAAGGAGGTTGCCAGACGGTTGAGAGTGGTGGAAGAATAATTAGAACTGCTCTTTTTAGTGGGAAGAGGCGGTTATTCTATTTTAGAATTAAAACTAGAAAAAACACATCACACACAGGCACAAGAAGATGAACTCGTATATTTCTCTGTTTCTTTTTCATGTTTTAGTTTATGTTTATGCATTTTAATTCGAATTACATGCTTTTATATTTCTAGCATATTTTTATCCTACTTTCCAGTAGATTTATCCGAGTTTTAGTAGATGTTAGTTTAAATCCATCGAAATCGATCATTTAGGCTCGAAGCCTTGTTTACGATCGACGTCGTGCAGGCTCCATCGCAGGAGCCGCCTTTAATCTGACGACGGACAAACTCTTTGAAATACTTTCGGAATCTACACCGACGAATCGACGAATTATTTTGGAACCTCCTAATTTTAGGATCCAACACATACTAATAATAATAATAATAATAATAATAATAATAATAGGAAAATAGTGTATTATTAGCACTTGAGTACATTCTAATTTTCAATGAATGTATTTATATATTTATACTATAAATTCTTCTTTCATAGGTTTGATTAACAAAATTGTCATATGATAAAATTTTATTAATGTACACAAATAGTGCAATACACGGGTGATCGCATTAGTTTTCCTATTATATATTTGAGCTCGGTGAATACACGTGACTAAATCGTTTCTTTCTTATTATTTTTGTATAAAAATAATTATATTAATTGATATAGTTAATAATTTACCATTAATATTATTTAATTATATTGATATAATTAATGGAATTATAATTATTATATATATTTATTAAAATGTAAAATTTATTATTATATTATCTATATATTTTATATTTGAGTTCGGTGGGTCTCACCTGACCAAATCTTTTTAAAAATAAAAAAAGAAATTGATTTTTTTAATAAAAATAATTATATTGATTGATATAGTTAATACTTACAATTAATATTATATAGGGTAAACTGTTTTTTTAGTCTCGTAATTGACTCCCTTATCATTTTAGTCCCGTAAGTGGAGCATGTCGCAAACTAGTCCCATAAGTGAAAAAATTTCGTTATTTTAGTCCTCCAGCGCTAGAGACGCCCGCGTGGCTCGCCGGAAGCCACGTGTCCCGTCAGGTCAGTGACACTTGGCGGACACGTGGATTTTATTTTATTTTTTTATTTTTTAAATTTTTTTAAATTGGACCAAATAAAAAAAAACAAATAAAAGTAAAAAAAAATTTAAAAATTAAAAATAATATCCACGTGTCCGCCAGGTGTCGCTGACCTAGCGGACACGTGGCTTCCGGCGAGCCACGCGGGCGTCTCCGGCGCCAGAGGACTAAAACAACGAAAATTTTTCACTTATGAGACTAGTTTGCGACAGGCTCCACTTATCATATTATATAATTATAATAGAGTAAACTGTTTTTTTAGTCCCGGAACTGGACCTCCTTATCATTTTAATTTCGTAAGTGGAGCATGTCGCAAACTAGTCCCATAAGTTGAGAATTTTCGTTGTTTTAGTCTTCCGGCGTTGGAGACGTCCGCGTGGCTCGCTGGAAGCCAGCGATACCTGGCGGACACGTGGATCTTATTTTATTTTTTATTTTTTTAATTTTTTTAATTGGACCAAATAAAAGAATTAAAAATAAAAAAATTAAAAAATAAAAATAAAAAATAAAATCCTTGTGTCCGCCAAGTATCCCTAACTTGGCCGACACGTGGCCTCCGGCGAGCCACGTAGGCGTCTCCGGCCAGAGGACTAAAACAGCGAAAAACTTTCACTTACGGGATTAGTTTGCAACATGCTCCACTTATGAGACTAAAATGATAAGGGGTCCATTTACGATATTTAAAAAACAGTTTACCCTAATTATAATTGATATAATAAATGGAATTTTAATTAATAAATATATTTATTAAAATTTAAAAAATTTTATTATTATTATTATTATTATTATTATTATTATCTATCTATCTATCTATATATTATATATTTCATCTCGGTGGATCCCATGTAATCAAATTTAAAAAAAAAAAAATTGAATTTTTTAATAAAAATAATTATATTGATTGATAGAGTTAATAACTTACTATTAATATTATATAATTATAATTAATGAAATTATAATTAATAAATATAGTTAATAAAATTTAAAATTCATTATTATATTATCTTATATATAAAAGTCATCCATGTAGGTTCCACACTTGATATTTTCTTTCTTATATTTTCAAATTTTTAATAAAATTATTTTATTTAATTATTTATAATTATAGCCATAATTGTCCTATTTAACGAAATTATTGGGTAATGAGTATGTTTAGGCATAAACTATCCTTTGAATTATGATGACATTCAATGCGTTTTTTTTCTAATTTTTATTTTGTATATTTAAAAGTTACGATTCATTCGTGTTTCGATAATATGAGATTGAAAGTGAATTTATTTTGTAACAAAAAAATAATTTATCTCAATGTAAAAATATTTGTTGTAGTATATTTGTATTTTGTTTTTACATCTTGTGTTTATAAAAATATATTTGTTTGTGTCTCCATATTTGATTTATTTTTTTCATTAGCTAGGATTATATCGATCTATAAACATCTTTTTCACAATTACAATCCATATATAAAAATGCATATAGATAAAGGAAACTTAGTGGTCTTATTACGAATATCTATTGTCTTTATTTTTTTATTTATATTTATTATTCATTTTAATTTTGGATAAAATTATTTTTTATTATAATATTTTATAATTTTTATAAATTAATTTCGAATTATAATTTTTTTTCTCCATCGTTGGCAAGTACCATATATAATCTCCACTATCTTCTTTGTTTAGTTTTCTTTCTTTTCCTTATTTATTTTATTTTGTTTTTATTTGGGATTTACTTGGATTTGGATGGATATTTATGTAATGTAATTATGAGATCTTTACGTATTTTATACTTAATTGTTAAGATTTTATAATATTATTTTATTTTAAATGAGACAACGTCTATTGTTCGATTATGGAAAATAGATTTATATTAACTATATCAATTTTATAGGAAAAGATAGTTTAATAAAAAATATACCATTTTATAGAAAAAAAAAGGTCAATAATAAATATATCAATCTTCTGATATTTTTGAATTTTTCTACGTTCCTTTATTTTGTTGTCATATATATTTATTATTAATGTACACAAATCGTGCAACGGACTGTTGACCGCACTAGTATATATATATATATGAAGATGTATATATGTGTGTGAAATGTGTAGGGGTTTTTGTATTTACAAAGATAATGATATATATATATATATTATAGATAGTAAGATACATGGATATTTGTGTAAATATACGTAAAATTCAGCACTGTGCTGAATAGCATACCGTGTATACATTAGTATAATACAAATATAACACATGAACTAAAAATGTACTATATCACTACAAGAAAATATTATTTTTGTAACGAGATTTTTTTCTCCCTAAATTTATTTTTTTCGTTACTAATGACATTAGAGATAAAATTAAGGATGAAATTACGTTTACTACGTAAACTGTAAGGACGAAATTACGTTACAAATATACTATTTTTTTGTAGTGTTACTCTAACTTACACAACACATACAATAGTTGATTTTAGCTCATGACATAATCATATACAACATACTCAGTAGTTATGAACAAACAATACATATTGTATATAATAAAAACATGTATTTTTTTCTATATTTTACGTGTGCTAATTACCGTAACCCTTCCCTTGTGAGATATATATACATATGTATTGTCATGTGTGAATAAATGTGCAATAAGAAGAGAGAAAAATGGAGAGTGATAATCGAAAATTAATCGTAAAAGATAAGTGAATTATTTTTAATTATGTATAAAAATATAACTATTTATAGCCAATTCCATAACATAACTAGTCACCAAGAATGAGCATTTGGCAATACAATAAAATGATACCTACACTCTATTTTCATGTAATCGAGCATGCATTTGTCTCGTAAGAGATGGTCGGGTGGTATTGGGAGTAAACTTGTGATTGTGAGGTCATGAGTTCAAACCCTGAAACTTATCTTGTCGGGCCAAGTACTGTTATTGCCAATTCTCGCAGAATGCGGCATCATCAGGGATTTATTGAGTCAAGTACATAGTACTTAAAACTCGGTATCTGATCTAAATGGACAAATTAGCTAGGGCAAATAAAGTAATATTTAGATTAGACAATCCTAAAGAATGAGTGTGAGACTATTGAATTAGGAGAAAATTAGTATTACATAGTGTAGAAACAATTGAGTTTTGTATATAAGTTATCAAATATTGCTTTAATAGTAGTGTAAAATATCTTCTCCATGTACATCGAAAGGTTGGACAAATAAAGACAATAAGAGTCCCATAAGGGATGGAGTGTGTGAGTGGATTAACCGTAATATTAACCATCCAAGAGTCATCTCTAACTCCATCTTCACGTATGTTTCGACTTTAATGTTTATGCAATAAATTCAATTATAAAGTTATTTTTTCTACATAATTTTTTTTTTCTAAATAATAAAAAGTACCAATGAGATGCATTTACTATAAATTTTGAAATGCTAAAAAGTATTATATAAAATTACTTTTTTTTTTTTTTCATGAATTTAAAAATGAAACTAATACATAATTGTAAGATATATATATATATCTCATAGAAGTGTTTGGTTTTGTTAGTTAAGGATCAAACACTAGATCACAATGAGCCGAGGAGATGACACTTTCGGAAAGGGCCCATAATCTCACGGCTTCTGATAAGTCGGATGCCAAAGCAGATGTCGAAGCTTCATTACAGTCGGAGAAATATTTTCCACTTATGCCGCCAAGCCTCGGATCTGTCGCAACATAGCAAGTTGTTGCAGCTGCCTGCGTGCAAAAATATATTCCGCAAAATTTATTCTCACATTGTTCGTACATACATCTTCCTGTCACCCCAGATTTTTTTATACTAAGAATAATAATGATTTGCATATCAGAAATGGGATGTAAATAAAATCTTCTATAATGAAAACAGCAAGAGATGTGCAATATTTAGAGGGTTTTAGTATAACCGACAATGTTTTAATATCCAATGGCTATGGTAATTAGTCCCATTAGGACAAACTTGAGATCCGACTCGAATATATATACTAAGACTTAATATTAGAATTGAATTCAATCAAATTAAGACATAATTATTTATATATTTGACTATATATCTAGAATTCTAAATTATAAACCTAGAACAAGACCAGATCAATACAGAAATTTATAACTTTTATGAATATATATATATATATTATATTATGGAAGTGATTAAATATTGAAATATTTAATATTTATTTACATATTGAAACTAACAAATAGTAATAATATTTGTTCTTTCTAATATATATTTATATATAATTTTTCATTAAAAACAATTTGTCACCCATACCTATTCTTGTATAAATATGACATCAAAAAACGTCTGTATTTACTTATATATATTATATCACATTAAAATATTTTTTAATTTAAACTATTACTCCCTCCTACAGTGTTCCATTTACCGTAGATACAAAAATTTAAGAGAGATATAATTAGTAAATAATAAAAAATATATCAGTGAAAATAATTATTGTATAATAAAAATAATTTTTTTTTAATATTGAAATAACTAATTAGTCTAACTAAATTTTTTTTTTAAAAAAAATATAAATTAGAAAAAAAAAGTAACCGAATAAATGAGACATACATATGAAAAGGTGAACACCATAGGTAAGTAGGACAGAGGAAGTACATCAAAAAATTATTATCTATTAAAACATCAAAATTATCACATTTCAATATATCACATCGAACATTTTTCCCCCAATTTTTTACTACTTTAGAAGTACTCTAAAATTCCAAATTGCACATCCAAAATATATCTAAGATTATCTTCATTATATCTACTTTTCATTGAAAATTTTCATATTCAAAACACATTAATCATTCTTTTTTTTTTTATTTTATTTTTGCAATTGCCAAAGACTTCTCTGTACTCAATTTTGAAGCATATATTTACATATTATATATAATATGTAATGGAATTAATGGAATATTAATACCTGATGAATAGTCTTGAATAGTTTGGAACCCAAAAAGAAAACCATATCTGAAATTTAGATAGAATAGGAAATTAATTAATTTATTTATTTTCCAACTAAAGGTAATAAAATATTTTAATTTGTAGTAGGTGTCAAAAACCCCTTAGAGTAATTGTTTACCAGTAGCGAGGCCTTCATTGTCTCTAGTAAGTCTTGTTTTAGCAATGCCAGGATTAACACAATTCACTGTCACTTTCGCCTTCATTTCCTGCCAATTTATAACAAATAAATATTTTATCACCATATATATACATATACATATAACATTTTCAAATAAATATTACCACGTAATCATATATTTAGACACCATTTTAATGGAAATAGGTAATCATTGTTATTTTTTTCAACTTTTTATAGTAAAAAGTAAAAAAATATATATTGTTTAAGGAAACTTAAAAAATAAAAATAAAAAATAAAAAACATAGATTTTAATAATGAAATAGTATAAGATTAAAAAAAAAAAAAAAAAAAATGAGAATTGTATACCTCGAGTTTGAGAGCAAGTTCCTTGGTATGCAGAATGGTGGCCAACTTGGAGAGGGCATATGCCCGCGTTGCATCATATTTACTGTCATCCATAATAACAATTATTATTATATTGAAAATACAAAAAAAAAAATACTCCCTCCCTCATTCATTCAATTGTGTGCTCATTTAACCGGGCACGGGTTTTAAGAAAAATATGTAAGAATAAAATTATTTTTTTTTTGGTAAAAAAAAATGGTATTTTTTTACTAAAAAATGAAACATGAATAAATTTGGATGACAACCACGACGGATCGAGTAATATTTAATCCATTTATCTTAATCAGATGTATAAACTGTTAAAAGGAAAAAGATAAATGAACGAAACACAATATTTAGATACTGGACACTGTTAGTTCAATTTTTATTATTATAAACTAAATTGTGAAATAATATATCGAGCAATTGAGATTAAATGCAATTGAAATCTTAGGGTAGGGTATGTAATTGATCCACAAAAATAATCATCCCGACAAACTATTTTAGGGATGCCACCACAAATTTCATGCAAAAGAACCTATTAGTAATGAAAAGGGAAATGTTTAAGAATATTGCATGGCAACTAACTTCATCTTATTAGATGTTTTTAAAGATCTACACTATTTGATTTATCAATTTTTTTTCCAAAACCATCAAATAAATTAAATGCCTATTTTAATTTAATTTATTATTAAAAATTTAGACAAAATTCGGAATATTTTTTATCAATTTTTTTTCCAAAATACTATTTCGAATATTTTTTTATTATATAAGTCTCAAACCTAAATTCAAACATTAAATTATCACAACCAATTTAAATTTCTTTCATAGTAAAGCCATTTTTGACAAAATTCAGATTTGATTGATTTTAATAGATTATAATCTATTATCAAGGATAATACATATATAAATATATAGACAATGATAGACCTAATATCACATTCTAGGGAAAAAAATTAATTAGGATTTCTTCAACTATGTTTTCATTTCCACTCTATATTATTCATTGAATTTCTCTGGCTAGTATCACATTTATCATATTTTTTTAATTTGAAATACTCTCTCCATTCCATAACAAGCTATTCATTTACCTTTTGCGTCATTTTATTTAACGTTAAAAATATCCTTATATTTGTATAATTTTTTATACAAATGTCATTATATTAGTATTATAAAACACTAATAGAAATATTTTTGTAATTTTTCCTTGATTTGTAATACGTTTTGATATAATAATTAATATCCAAAGATCAACACGCAAAGAGTAAATGAATACTTATTTATGGGACGGATGGAGTATTATATTCAAAACAACATATCCCCCGACACCTATTATATCACCTCAAAATTTTTCTATTCCTTCCATACTAAAACACACCCCAAGCAATGGTCAATAATCGCATTTTAGTCTCTATGCTCACTCCCCTTATATCAAATGGTCAATAATCGATCAACAATTGTAAAGAATAGGGGCCCTAAGCCATAACTCTTATATTGGCGACGATTAATGTGAGGATTAATATGGAAGAAAGATAATGACAAGAAACATGCCCACGTATCTTCAAGTCGAGTACTTTACTTTTAAGCTCGAACCATTATCGAAATAAATTAGCTCAAGCATAAGCTTGCATAGTTAAGGGTATCTCTAACTAACTCAAAACTAATAGTAAAGCTGACTGTCCATTTGAAGTATATACTTAAGATATGTCTGAATTTGAAAATAGACTAAAATTGGGACCAAGTAGAAAAGGAGAGGAGAAAACAAGATTTAACATTATTTTTAAAGTAAGAAAAATGGTACGGTTTGATTTTAATTATTTACAATACAATCATTAAGGTCATCTCCAACCCATCAACTACATTTATTCAATTTTATCTTCAAATATGCAGTTGCTACAGTAATTTTACTCTAATTATAACTCCATTTTTCATTATTATTTTTCAAATATTCAATTTTTCCTATTATTTTAAACAACTTTTTATTTTTATAATTTTTAAAAAAAATTTAAAATTTAAAAAAAAAATTAGAAGTCAAATTTATAATTTTAAAAATTAAAAAAAAAAACCAAACACACCATAAATGACGTTTGCTACCGTGCAACACCATGTGTTACATTGTAGCAAAGACTAAAAATGGTGTATGAATTGGTGCCCGATTGGAGACAGTCAGCGGCAAATATGGGGTTGCAACGTCAATTGACATTGCATTGGAGATGGTCTAAGATTTTTTAAAAAAATATGCTATAATTTCTTGTAAAATATTACACTCAACCCACTATTTAAACAATAAATAAAAACCTAAATATAATATCAAACTAAAAAAGAAAACACCCTTTTTATATTTACAATTTTGCAAGTCTTAATTGATATGCACTCGTTTTCAATAAAAATATATTTATTTTTCTTAGAAAAACCATATCAAACAATTATTTCATAAAATTGTCTTAAAGAGTAAGACCCAAGTCTATCAAAATCCAGCAATTCAAATGCTAAAATCTAAACTAAATATAAGTAATACCTTTTGTCCTTGGTAAGTAATCCAATGTAGGAGATGGGATCACCCGAAAACCACTTGTGGAAATTCGAAGTTAGGTTCACAATCCTTCCTTCGACGCCACAGTCTCTTGCCGTCTCTACCATTTTCTCGAGTAACAGCTTCGTCAGCAAAAAATGACCTATCCACCGATCGATCCATCATTTTATTCACATTATGCATATATATGTTTAAACTCATAAAAATTAGTTGATACATTGAAGATGAGTAATCAAAGAAAGGTTATATTTAATTTATAAAATTGAGAAGAAAAATGAAAAGCAAATTTAATTAGTCATGAGTTTATAATCAATTATGGCTATTACCCTATGAATCCATTGATTGTGATTTGATCTTTTACTTTATATATATATATATAGGTATACACATATTTTGTTCTTGGCCACATACAAAAATTGTATATATTGTAGAGAGCTGTGGCTTTTCTTTATGAAGTACAAAATCAAACTACAATTAATAAAATGTGTCAAATATGAGTGATAATTGGATATAAATATAAGATCAAAATTACAAGGCAAAATTGTTTATAAACCACATATTTTGGGATTTAGAAACAATATGAAACTTGTCTTGTGGACCTAATTTATAGGTTAGTAAATTTGACCAAAGATTTAGAGTTTACCTGGAACACATTCATTCACAAAATAGTAAATAAAAAAAAAATTAAAAAAAAAAATGTATGAAGCTTCTTCATGACCTAGAACATAATTCCTTTTATAGGGTTTTTGTGCAATATTTGTTTGTGTTTCTTAAACCAACACAGTCTTGTCTAGTTCATAAATCAATGCTATAAACAATTATGCCAAATTATAATTATCTTTGATTACATTGCTGACATGAAATCAAACATCATACCGAAGTAATTGGTGGCAAGAGTTGTCTCGATACCATCCTCAGAAAGAATGTGTTCCTTCGAGTATTTTCCAGCATTGTTGCTGCATGAATAGTGATTCCAATACACACATACATATCTCTAAATTCCAAATCAATAATATCCCATTACAGTAATACATATATATACATAGATATATAGATATACATACATGAGGAGGTTGAGGGGTAGAGCGAGGGCATTGAAGTCAGCAACGAACTGGCGGATGGATCGGAAAGAGGCGAGGTCGAGATTCATGGCGACGATTTGGGCGCCGGGAGACTCGGCGGCGATGCGAGATTTAGCGTGGCGGGCGGCGAGGATGTCGCGGGCGGGCAGGACCAGGCGGGCGCCGCGCTTGGCCAGCACTCTGGCGGTTTCAAACCCTATTCCGGAAGTGGCGCCGGTGACGATGGCCGTCGTCGTCGAGGGGGCGCGATATCGGTCGGTGACTTCCTCGGCGGTGGTGCGGGAACTGAACCCACTGGGCCCCCTCCACCCGATCAGGTACTTAGCCGTTTCCGCCGTCGTCTCCATCCTCAATCGGCGATATATATGAGAATCAGCAGAAGGATTTCTGGCTCCATGGAATGGATTCTTTTTATGTGTGGCAATTCACAATTGGAATAATTGTAATTTGGTAGTGATTAATCGTTGTTAATTTATTGCCTAATTAATTGACTCTCTTACCATCTATTTCTCTCGATTGGCTTTTCAAAAAAAGATTCTAAATTAAAAATTACCTATTTATTTCAAAAAATAATGATGATAAATAATTTTACATTCAATTGTTCTCTATCACTCTCTTTTTCATGTCTCTTAACTTGTTGTCGTCGTTGCAGCCGCTGCCATTGTTGCTGTTTTCGTTGTAATCGTGCTCTCCAACTCCAGTCTCAGGGGCTTCAACTGTATGACTTTTTATTTATTGTGCATTTGAATTTTTTTTTATTATTTTAATCTTATTTCTATTATTTTATTATATTTTTTTTTGTTGAGTTTAACCAATGTATTTTAGAATATTATATTATTTTATATTGCAATTGATGCTCTTTGAGTGAATATCAAATAAAATGTTTATGATTTTTTTTATTCGGAGAATACTTATTGTTGGGTATTAGCAAGAAAATGAATTTTTGTATTATATTTCAACAAACAATATAAACACAACTTCATTTATCAATCCTAAAAAAAAATAGACTATTTCTAGCGGGTTTGAATTCGCTTACAAATACCTATTTTTCATAATAAAAAACTATTTGTAACGATTTTATTGCGGATTTTTGTCGGTACTTGAGTAATAAAAAGTCTATCTCGCAACAAATGTCACAACAAAAAATTGGTGGTCAACGTGCGTGAAGAGACTTTTTGTTGCGGTTTTTTGTACGTGACAAAAAATAGAATTCTTTTTGTAATGAAAAATATCCGTAACAAATAATGCGGTGCAAATATTTTCTGACAATCACATTATCTTTTTGTAACAGTATTTGTTATGGTTTCTTGTTTGAGACAAAAATAAAATTATGTTTATAACGAAACATAACCGTAACAAATGATGCAGTGCAAATATTTTCTGACATTCACAATTTTTTCGATATTTGTAACATCTTTCTGCAACAAAAAATATACCGCCAGTTATTAACATAATTTTTTGTTACAACATCTATTTCATGACAATTAAAATACAATTTGTTTTTCCATATTCCCTCTGAAAATCATTATTAAACCTATAAAACGAGAATGATCCAACCACATTCGAAGATATCTTATTATCAGTTACACTAACAATCGTGTCAACTACACATAGGACTACATAAAATGCAAACAAGGCAAAACTTACTTATACGCAAAATGATCAATCTAGTAAGCCCAAAAGGCGTAGTATAGAAAAATATGCAAGATGTCAATCCATGTCTAAACATATACATGATATGTGGATGCTTATGCAGCGACAAAAGTATAAGGGAGGAACTCCAGTATGGCGAACCAGCTGCAATTAATAAATAAGTTCTATAAGAATTTAATTATGAAATAAAAATTATGAACATATAAACAAGACGATCTTAGAAAGCAAACATAAAATAAACACACAAACAAAGGGTAGCAGAAAAAGTCTAAATACAGTAGATAAATATGTGTTATGCCCCACAATTATACAAACAACAATACACATTAAGCATTATGCAAAAACTTAAATTTCATGGCTATTACGTATTAAAATTGCAAACGAATCTAGGTTGGGGACGAAAAGCATGATCTCTCACCAACATGTTTTTTCAAGCCATGAAACCCAATCTACATAAAAATGTTTACAACTATTAACAACATTCTTATGGGTTAACAATGTATCAGCAAAAGACAATGTTAATTTATAGAATTTTAGATATTACTTTAAAACCCCATCACATATTTATGTAAACTAATCATAAGTGGTTCATGAACCTTAGTCCTCGGCATCTGTAACCTTCTTTCAGTGCGGCTAATTCCTTACAATGCATGGAACAATTAATTGCATAAAGTACAACAGTAGACAACATGACAATTATAGTATAGATTAAACAGATAGCTAAGCTAGGCTAAGGATTAAAACTGAAGCTAAAATGATAAAGCTAAATCGTAATATACTAAGACAACAATAGGTAAGCTAATCTAAACTAAACTTATCTTTAACATTTACCATAGTAATCTACTCCTGTATTACAATGCTAGCGCTAGCAGGAATTCACATTACACTAAGAAAAACAACTTGGAAATAAATTAACTTAAATAAAATTAATGATGCAATCACAACAAACTTCCCTTTACATGTTTGTTCATCCTCGAACAACTTCGCCCAGCATCAAGGAGAAGCTACAATTAACCCAAACAACAAATCGTTACTAGAAACTTCCTTTACATGCATGTACATACTATATTTACACATTTCAAACACTTACCATAAGACAATGCATATCTCTTGTCGGTCTACAAGTCGGTTTTTTGTTATCCACCAATTTACATTTAAAATTGTGAATTGAATCAACCAACTTGTCTTTTATAACAGCAACCCAATTATATCTTAAAGCATCCTCAGGAGATACAAGGAACCTCAAGAATCGATTATTGATACATGGAGATGTTGATGGAATTAATAACGTTGACAAAGAATATAGGACATAAAATCTCCAAAAGTCAACAAGACGGTGCAATCTAGAAGATTGTAATATCTCTGATAACCAACAATTTTGGACTACCGTCGAATTTCTTGTATCAAGCTCGAAGCGTTGGCTAATTTCATGAATTTCGCTATAATAGTTTGAAGGCTTTACTAAAGATATGATACTTTTACCAAATCCATGCGGAAGTCCATATACTCGAGCAACATCATCATTGGTAATATGCCGTTCCGTCCTATCTAAAAAAACAAAAGACTTTTTCTCGGTGTCCCAATTTCTCATTAACTGAAGCAGTGGCTCACTATTTATTTTTGTTTTCCTAACATATAGAAGACCGTCAAAACATGACTTCTCAATATAGGATCTAAGCACTTCCTTATTTTCAGACTCTAGCAGGTTATTCAATTTTGCTATTTTACTCGGGATGGAATACATCTGAACATGTTTAGCCATTTCTCCCCTGTAAAAATACAAAATTAAACATAACACAATCAATAGAAATATATCACAATTCAAAAAATACAATACCATTATGTATGTGGCTTTTCACTACCATTAAAATGAAATTGTAAAGCTAGAAATGAAATAAGATGAAGTACTTAAGTGAGAAATAAGAAAATTGGATCTCAGTGCCGAGACAACAATTCTCGATCAATTGTTGCTACTGTCAACAAGGGAAAATCAGTCATGGAATCTGAGCCAGCATCAGGGAACACTTCCAGGAACACATATCTTCAGGTACGCTGTGAACTTAAACTTTGCAAAATAATATACTGTAACAAGGCCGAATTTCACGTTTTAATTTACATGGATTGCGCGAGGAACAAATAGTCGTGGAACTTTGAAATCGGATTTGCTTAACTTGCTACTTGTTATGCCGAGATAGTAATTTTCGATCTGCACTTGAAATTGTTTGATTGTTGAAACTCTGTTTTTCTCGGTTTGTTATTTCTTGCTTCAGCTATTCCCGGAGAATAGCAGTGGAGACCCACCCCAGCTGCCCAACAACGAAGAAAAGCTGAGGCTCGGTAGTCAAGCCTGGCCTGGTCTTGTTCAACTACATCCGAGAGAAGCATTTCATGATTTTATGGCCCCAGCACCCGACCAAGGACAATCGTTCTCCAGACAGAGGATGATGCTCGCAAAAGCTGCACGGGGGCCATAAAATCATGAAATGCTTCTCTCGGCTGTAGTTGAACAAGACCAGGCCAGGCTTGACTACTGAGCCTCAGCTTTTCTTCGTTGTTGGGCAGCTGGGGTGGGTCTCCGCTGCTATTCTCCGGGAATAGCTGAAGCAAGAAATAACAAACCGAGAAAAACAGAGTTTCAACAATCAAACAATTTCAAGTGCAGATCGAAAATTACTATCTCGGCATAACAAGTAGCAAGTTAAGCAAATCCGATTTCAAAGTTCCACGACTATTTGTTCCTCGCGCAATCCATGTAAATTAAAACGTGAAATTCGGCCTTGTTACAGTATACTATTTTGCAAAGTTTAAGTTCACAGCGTACCTGAAGATATGTGTTCCTGGAAGTGTTCCCTGATGCTGGCTCAGATTCCATGACTGATTTTCCCTTGTCGACAGCAGCAGCAACTACTTTCTCCTTGTCGAGAATTGCTGTTGCGACAACAGCACCATCCTATTTCTGATGATGAGTTTTTAATCTAATAATTAGTTGGTTTTCAATCCCATCAAATGCTTGGATAAAAACACCAATCAAAACATCAATGATGAATATCAATAATTAGTATTACGGCTAAAAACACAAAAATATGCACAAAACATGAATCTTGAATAGCAAAAATTTCTGACTAATTGCCCATCATTGAACGAAACCAGTACCACCCAATAGTAATGTCCAGTATCAAAATTGAATACTTAATGAACGCTACCTGAATAATGAACCTGTATCCATACACCATACACCCGAATACCAACTTCTTGTAACACAGCAAACTAGTTACATTTTTACTTTCTTGTAGATATCTTTTGTCATGAATTCATAAAGATGTGCAGACTCCAGTTAGCTTTGCAATGAACTCACATCACATGTTGCTACCATTAGTCTTGTCATGTTATATGTAGTTTCCCTAACTATCTATGTCCCCTGCTCCTCTATTTCTGGTGTTATCTTAAATGAATTTGTACTCAAACCAACCCAGTAATGGGAAACCCAACGCTCCGATGCCCTAATCATCAAAGGGTTGAACTTATACACACACATATCATATGTAACCACATATACGACTTCTTGTATCACACTAAAGGTAACAGAAGACCAAAAATAAAAAGGAAAAAAAGGCATCCCTTCTACATTATAGCTCCAACAACCCTAATGTAGAAATAGACAGCTATACTCGCTACTTCTTCCCAAAAGATACATTATACAAACTTAGTTTGCAAATTTTCTTAAGATTGAAACACATTAGAAAACACAAGAAACACATTATACAAATTACACAACCTGAGTTTGAGTGAGAAATCTGAATCGAAGTGTTGGAGTTCGCTGCAAGAAGATTCTGAATCAAAATGTCTATGGCACATAACAGAATTAGATAGAGAATTTGATGTTGGATTCGCACCAGAGGACTCACCGGCAGTTGAGAGAATCTGAATGATGAGAGAATCGCACTAAAGGTAAGAATCGATTCAGCACACAAAGAGCGGTTGAGAGAATCTGAATGACGAGAGAATCGCACTAAAGGCAAGAATCGATTCAGAAGGATTGCGAAAAGGGCAAGAAAGTAACGGAGGAGAAGAAAGTAATTTAATGAAAAGACTAATTACAATCGTTAGATTATAATGAATAGTTAAGATCAGATTAAGTATAGTTGAATTATATTATAACGTCAATACCAGATCCTTTCCCTTAACATTAACATGACACTATAATAAACATAACGTGCTCAACTCTAACATCAATACATATGAATTGAGTCTGTTCTATTTTTAAAATATTTAAATACATATTCTAATTTTTAAATTATATATTCCATATTAGATTGATGAGAATACGATAAAAACATACCCAACCTAGAAAAAACCCCATTCAGTTTCTGGACATTGCCGTCCTCCGTCGCTCTCTCGGCGTCGCCGCCTCATAATTGATTAATCGCTTAATCTCAATGGGTAATTATATTATATTCATTCTTCCTCACTCCTGAATGAACTTCCAATCCCTTTTGGCTTCTTCTCTCCGTCGCTTTCACTGTATGTATCTGCTTTTTGTGCGCTTGTTTGTGTATATATGAGGCAAGTTTGTTTGTTGTCGGTCACTTTATTCGAAAAGAATGGGTAGAGAAGGCGCCACAAATTTATTGTTGTTGTTGTTTAATCGATTGCTGACAATCGCTTCCGTATTTGTAGTTTCGTCGGCAGTAGCGTCGGAGAGGACCGCCGCAGCATGTACGGGCGGCGGTGGTCCCGTGGTCCCCACAACACCTCTAGTCGCGTTCCTCGAGCGCGTCCAGGCGGCGGCTCTGCAGGCGTACGGCGGCGACGGATTCGATCCGAAACCCTACGTCGACCTGTCGCTGAAGCAAAACCTCTCGGCGGCGGTCGAAGCCTTCGAGAAGATTCCGAAGTCGGGGGCGGCGGAGGCGGAGGGACTCGCGGCGTTCCTTGCCGAGTACACGAGCGACGCCGAGGCGGATTTGGTCCACGTGGACCCGGCCGACTTCGTGGACCGGCCCACGAATTTCCTGCCGAAAGTGGAGAGCCCAGCGGTCCGGGCCTGGGCTCTGGAAGTGCATCAGCTATGGAAGAATCTGAGCCGGAAGGTGTCGGGCCAGGTTATTGAAAAGCCCGATTTGCATACGCTCTTGCCGCTGCCCAATCCGGTCATAATTCCGGGCTCCAGATTTACCGAAGTCTACTATTGGGATTCTTATTGGATCATAAGGTTGGTGCTCTTTTTTCTTTTGAATATTTTATTTATTTATTGTTACTCTTTCTCAAATCAAAAGAGTGATGTTACGTAGGATGGAAATGGGTCCTATTAGACCCGGACTCGGGTCCAATTATTAGGGTCGGGTATGGTGTATTTTTATCTGTTCCGACCCGGACTCGACTAATATATTAATTATATATATAAAAAATATAATTTTTAATAATATAAATTATATTAAATATATATTTTTAGTTTAATTTTATTTATTTTTTATTATTTTATTATAATATTTTTGAATAAAATATATAAATTTTAATATAAGTAAGTTCGGGTTCGGCTCCAATTTTAAATTAAATTTTAAGAATTGTAAAAAAAAATCGGGTATGTCGGAGGGCATTATTTAGGTCAGGTCCGATTCGAGTATCAGGTCCAGCCATTTGTATTCAGGTTGGGTCTCGGGTCCGGCTGAACCTGGCCCATATTGGATCCATTGTCTTCTCTAATTTATAGTAAATAAGAAATTTAAATAAAAATTAAAAAGAGTATTTTGGTATTAATTTAAATTAGTGTATAAACTAAAATGTAAAAGAAATATTTTTTTATTGTGGCGGATATACTTCTTAGACATTCAATTGATTGATTTTATAAAAGTCTATAATAATGGTTATTGTTAGCTAGGAGCATTAATTTGTAGGGAATTTTAGCTTCTCTAATTCTTATTCTTTTAATAGAAGTGAACGAAATATGCTTCTTAAACTAGCAAAACTTATATCAACTAATCTTAAAAAATAAAATAAAATGCATATAAAATAACGGAAAGTAATTTAACAGTAAGTTTGGATTTGATGTGTTGTTTATATCTTAACTTAATAATGATTTGATATCATGCTAAGGGTTTGTTCTTTTGGGGTTTGGTTTGAATAGCAATTTAGATTTCATGTTTATGTTTTGTGAGAATAAATAACCTATTTTTACAGGGAATTGCCATTGTTGCATGGTATTTTTTTAGGATGTGTTCGTTTGTTGAATTTTATAAAAGATTTATTATTAATCTTTTTTTTTTTTCAAAAAACTATCAAATTAAACACTTATTTTTTATTTTTTATATTATATTAAAAATCAATTTTATATTCAACTATTTTAATTTAAATTTTTTACTATTCAAATTCTGACTCATAATTCAAACCTCCAAACAAACACACCCATAGTGTATTCTTGCTATAGATTCCATAGTTTTATAAATGTATATACTTCCCTGATTAAATGCATACTTGAAAACCAATCAATCTCATTATTGTAGTATTCATGTTGGCCTTTATTTAGATGTATTTCATACACAATAAAAAAAATTAAGCCTGTGATCCAATCCACTTTCAGATAATCATGTATATTCAATATGGCATCCAATGCATCATGATTGATTCATTATAAAAACTTTAAGGTGGTGTTGATATGCAATGCTTGCAGGGGTTTGTTAGCAAGCAAAATGTACGAGACTGCGAAAGGGATGGTGTACAATCTCATTTCCCTAATCCATAAATACGGCTATGTTCTCAACGGCGCCAGGGCATACTACACTAACAGAAGGTAACACAATTCATGCTTCGACAGATTAAAACAACAGACTTAGCTATCCATGGGCAGACACCTTATCTTGTTCTAATTCCCAGTCAGCCCCCTCTTCTGAGCTCGATGGTTGTAGACATATACGATAGCACACAAGACAAAGAACTTGTCATAGCTTCACTTCCTGCATTGCTCAAGGAACACCACTTTTGGAATTCAGGTGGCTAACAATCTTCCTCAATCACAGCATAGCACATAATGCACATGTTAGTTCTTTATTTTTCAAGATCAGTAATGATTTCATGTTAATTGTGAAGGGATACACAAGGTGACTATTGTGGATAGTGAAGGTTCAGCTCACACTTTAAGCCGATACTTTGCAATGTGGGATCAACCGAGGCCAGAGTCATCATCTACTGTACGTATTATAGTGTACTTATATTTTTTTAGTGTTTTATTCCTACAAGATTGTCCAAAAACATTATTTTAAAAATTACAATTTATACACATAACAATAGAAGTCCACAAAACCACACAAAACATTATCTCCTATAGTATTTTTAGGGGTCTCCATACCTCACGAATTTAATATCTAAAATCTATAAAACTAGACAAACACACATTAGTATTTTACGATATAATTTATTACAGAAATACTATAAAAACAAGACCTAAGGGCATTTTAGGTTTTGTTCTTTCGTGGGTTTTACCTTAAGTTGTTACTATTGAGATTTTTTTTTTTCCCTCCAAAAATATAAAATCAAACAATTACTTTTCTTTTTTATATTATATTATGAATTTATTTTATATTAAAAATATTATATCAATTTCTATTTATATCAAATCAAACAACTATTCAAATTCAATATTTTACTATTAAAAATCCAAATCCAAAAACTAAAACCCATAAACAAACGCACCCTTAGACTGTTAAGCTATTACGAGGGCATGATTTATCTAATTATTGATCATCTAGAGACTTGGAAGAGAGGAAAGTTATGATAATAAATGATGCTCAACTTATATTTGCTTAAAGGACAAAGAAACAGCATCGAAGCTGGCGAAGGGGTGTGCTAGAACACAGCTATACCGAGAGTTGGCATCTACAGCTGAATCGGGATGGGATTTCAGTACAAGATGGATGAGGTAGCATATTTTCTGCCCTTTTTTTGCTGTGTTCCCTAGACATGTAAATAATGCATAGGTGCACAAACCTTCGGGACATTCATTTCTTGATTCTTTGATCTTCTATTAAAGTCATCCTTTAGGCTATGATGCACATAGAAAGTGATGAATTTTCAGGAACGAGTCTGACTTAACAACATTAGCCACAACATTGGTGATACCCGTGGATTTGAATGCCTTCATTCTCAAGGTAAAGTATTGCCAAAGGCTTTGATTGTTTCCATAGCATTCAAAAAATATATATACACACATATATTTATATAGTTATAATACACATTCATTATATATGTGGTTCAGATGGAACTCGACATAATTTCATTGGCAACTGCAATTGGAGATGGCGATGTTGCTGAGCGCTTTCGAAAAAAATCTGAAGCTAGAGTAAAAGCTATAAACTCTGTTCTATGGAATGCCGAGAAGCAACAATGGTTTGACTACTGGCTTAGTGATTCTGATGCATCAAAGGTGAAATCAACAACTGCGCATACCCTGACAAAAGCAACTAGTTTTGCAATTTCACTGATTTCTTTTTTTCGATCTCAGGAGGTTCATCAGTTCAGCATTTCTCGCCAGAACCAGAAAACATTTGCTTCAAACTTCATACCATTATGGATCCAACCATTCAATTCAGGTAATTGTTCTCGCTTTTCCAACTCACTCCTCTCCATCGCACGATTTAATTGTGTTCCAAAATAATTAAATGTATGTTTTTTCATGCTTGAAGACATCAAGACAGTGGATAAGGTTGTCGAAAGCCTCCTAAGCTCAGGCCTGGTTTGTGCATATGGGATATCGACTTCTTTGACAAACTCTAGCCAACAATGGTAACAATTACATTTCCCCACACTTAATTCACCTCCAAAAAACATTCCCTCTGCACAATGACCATCAAAGGCTCATTTAATCTTTCAGGGATTATCCCAATGGTTGGGCTCCTCTCCAACACATGATCGCCGAAGGCCTTAGAAAGTCCGGATCAGAACAAGCGCATCGTGCTGCAGAAGACATTGCAGTCAAGTGGATCAGAACAAACTACGCAGCATATAAAGAAACAGGAGCTATGCATGAAAAATACGATGTAGAAAAATGTGGCGGCCATGGAGGTGGCGGAGAGTATGCACCCCAGGTAAGCCCGGCGATTATATACAAATTGCGCCTATAAGGAGTGTTTGATGACACTAATTATTATTTGAACTCAATAACTAAAACTTTTTAAATCTTACTCAACATCAAAATTTTAAATTTATGAAATGCCGGCATGAGAGTAACACAAGTATTAAAGTATTGAGTTTTGGATGCAGACCGGATTCGGGTGGTCGAATGGAGTTGTCTTAGCGTTCTTGGAGGAATTCGGATGGCCAAATGATCGAAACATCGAGTGCAGCGAATCAAGACAAGTCAAGCTCTAAATCCATCTTTAGAGGTTTTTAGCATTGAGATTCTTTCTTTAACAAGCGATTTTTTTCCACTGAATTTAGCCTGTAAAAGAATACAGCTCTTGTTTATATAATACAAGGAGATGATTTCAGTTGGTCAGCAAAACATGATCTTACTCGGTAAGACTTATTGGTAATAATAGCAATTGAATATAATGGCTTAGTCAAAGTCCATTTTAGTTTTAAGAGCATAAACGATGACAATTAATTTTAATATTACATATACTTCTGGAAATTAACGTAATATCAACAGGTGCATGAAATTCTTATTCAAATACGAGAAGAAGTTAAAAATAACAAAAATCAGAAAAAAGAACAACACATTCTATTGGTTAGCATTGGAAAGAATAAGTACAATTTTGAAAATTCAGAAAAAAAAAAAAAAAAAAAAAAAAAAAAAGGGAGGCTGGTTATCCTAAAAAATTGATTTGAGGCATGTTTGGCAATCAGCTAGTTTGACTAGGTGATTTGTATTAAAATGTTTGGTGAAACAACTGTTTGATATTAATTGTTTATACGTAAAATGATTGAGGACATTTCTATTTTATTTTTGTTTCTAATATATTCGATTATGTTCTTTTGAGTTTAGAATGTTTAAAATTTTGTTGTTATTAGTTATTGAAAATTGTAAAAGTGTTATAAAAGTATTTATTTTTATTACAGTTAGATTTTAAAAAATAATATATTTTTATTAAAATATATAAATAATTTTTTCTATTGAAAATGATGCAAAATATAAAATAATAAATTTTTCGTGTATATATTTATTATGTTAGTTATTGATTAGTTCATTATATTTATAATTTTCAATAAATTTAATTTATTTTTAGTATAAAATTTATATAATGTAATTTTAATATAAAAATAAATTATTAATATTTATATTTTCTGTTGATTTTAATAAATTTATATATTTTACAATTTAAATAATTTTTATATAAAAATTAATTATCTTAAATTTATAAAAATAAAACTATATTATAATAAAATATTCTAATATAATTAATAAATAATCAAAATATATTTATTTGTATAAAATGCATAATAAATTTTTAAGGGCATATAAGGAATAAAAAAAATTTTACAGAAAAAATTATTCCAAAAATTTTGGGACCAAAAAGCTAATTTACAAAACACCTAAATTAGCTTTTTGACCGATCAAATAGTTAAAAGCTGTTCAATAAGCTAAAAGCTCTTCAAAACGCTATTTTCCAAACACCCCATTGAAAATTTTTGAAATGTGCCAACGCGACTCATCCAAGCATAGCTAATGATTTAGTTCTTGTTTTACTAATATTCTCGCAGGGTGTGTTTGTTTGGGGAATTGCATTTTAAATTTACTATTTATTCCATTTTTTTCTCTAAAAAACATCATATCAAACACCTATTTTTTATTTTTTATATTATACTCCCTCTGTCCCAATACAATAATCTTGTTTACTATTTTTGTCCGTCCCAAAACAATAATCTTATTTCCATAAATAATCATATTACCGTAAAACTACCCCTACTTTTTTATTTTTATTACACAATTGCCACTACTTTTTACACTAATACACTCATAAGGGAAAAAGTCTTTTATCCATACTTTTTACCCCACTACCAATATAATATCAATATTCCTTAAATCTCGACAGAGGAGTACTAAAAATTAATTTTACATTCAAAACATCACATCAACATCTAGTTATATCACATCATATAACTATTCAAATTCAAAACAGTCTCAGTTCTTTAATCCTCACAGTTTCACTCATAGACCTTCTGGAGATCCGGAGGAGACCGCCTACCAATTCATAGAGCGGATGCGATTAATGAAGGGACGTTGCCCGACAATCATTGAGGAGAGCGAGATGACCAATTTGGTGGTCCGAAATATGCATACACAACTACAAGAGGCTTTAACAGCCCACGACGTTCAAAATCTGGCCAGTTTAACATCCAAGGCAGGGAGGTTGGAATCCTTTTTCAGAGAAAGCGATCACGACTTCTATCATGGGAGAGGTGCTGAAGAAATCATAGTGCAAGATCGACCAACGCGCAGGCCAGCACCAGTCCACGATAAATTGAGGTTGGGTACAACGTAGCCTCGAAAGATAGAGGTCGGATCTGAGGCTGACGTGGCCTCGGATGACAGCCTGCTAACTCCTAAATATCATGAGAAATGACGCTTAGGAGTCTTGCAGAAGAGGCAAGTTGTTACGCACAAAAAATAATAATAATAATAATAATAATAATAATAATAATAATAATAATAATAATAATAATAATAGTAATGATAGCAGGATCTTAAAGGAAGTTAGGACACGAAGTCCGGCGGAAAAGGAGAAAATATGCACTCAGGTCGGTTGGTCCACAGTCGGTTGGTCCGCAGTCGGATAAGCAGGTCGGAAGGTCCGCGGTCGGATAGGCAGGTCAGAAGGTCTGCAGTCGGATGGGATGGTCTGCAGTAGGTTGGTTCGTAGTCGGTTGGTCCGCCATCGGTTGAGTCGGCCAATACGGAGTTTGGACCAAGCGAAGGTTTGTTAATTAGTCGCCTAATTAAGTGAACAGTAGTTCAGTCGTTTGGTTGGGGCGACCATTGAATCGTCTGGAAAGACCAGAGGGTGGTCGCTTGATGGGGTGACCAAGGAAGGAGTCGTTTGGTCTAGCGACCAATTAGTCTCTGGATTGGTCGGTTGGGTTATGCGGTTGGCGAGACGGTTGCCGTAATCGACCAGACGACGTTTCAAAACGTTTCGTTGTGGGCGGTTGACGGTGGTTGTTGGCGACGGTTCCGAAACATCTCTTCAAGGATTGGGGTCAGGAACTTGCAGAGCATCTTCAATCGATATCAAATTCAAAAGAATTCTCTTTGGGGATCACCACTTTATTTTTCTGTAGTTTTATTTTTCTGTTCAGAGATTCCTCTTAAACACTAATTATATCAAATTCGAAGATAATTTCCTATTTTCGGATTTCGGATTTTTGTTGAAAAAATACTTCAACATATATATATTTTTTGGATGACGTGCGCACTAGGTAAACCTCCGGCCAAACCTAATATCCTGCAAATCAGGCCCAATAAAAAAATTACACTAAGCAAATTATATATGGCAGGTAACCTGAAGCGTCAGGGGTTTGAACCCATCACTCATGCTCAAGTCAAATCCTTACGCCACAATATAGCATATATTAGCAAAGGAAACTATTGAGTTGAAATTTGGTATTGGGGGGCACTTTGGTCATTTCAGTTTGAGCATTATTTTGAAAAATAGCCCGCCCGCCGTTTGTTTGTTTTCTTGTTCTCTCTGCCAACGCCTTTTGGTATTTGCTTTCTCTCTGTCTCAGCTCAGCCCTCTCCTAATTTTGAAATTTCGAATTCTCAACACTCCCAAGATCTCATCGGATTGATTCGCGCTTCCAAGGTTCCCAAATTTTCATCTTCTCTGATGCGATTTCCAGCAAACTCTGCAGTTTTACTGAGTTCGGTTCGGTTCTACATTTTCCAAGATTTTTTTTTGATTAATTTTTATTTGCTGTGGTGTTTCAGGATTCGCTACCGTGGATATCTTGTTGCATATCCTCGCTTTCGACGTCGGCTGCCTTGGGTGTGATTTTCTCGCATCCTGTGTTTTGCGCGTGCGTAGATTTGGAACAAAACAAACTATCCGAGTTGAAAAGGTTTCTCTTTCTTTCTCTTCTTTTTCTTCAAGGTATGAAGAATGTGATGCGCGGGGTTTAAACTGTAAACTAGACTGGATTAGGATATATTTGTTTATCTGTTGATTTATGTATAATTTTGGGTTTATGGATTTTTAGATCTGTTTTCTTGAATGTAAGGTTCTTGCAGAGCAATTTGGAGGTATTGGAGATTTTGGTTGATGGATTCAAAATGCTTTTCCCACCCTTTTGCTGATTAAATATAATGAGAGATTATGTTTTTATTAATAGAAAAGAATTAGCATTTTACATTATTGGCTAATGTTGTATAGATCGTCGTTTATTAATAACATGCAGTATCTGAACTTTCTATTGATTATTGTTTGGCTATCATTCCCTATTGAGTAGTTTTTATTTTTTATCTTTTTTGGTTTCACAGCATCATTAATGGAAAACTGAAGTTAACATTCTATTCCTTCACCCTGTAGGAGGAAATGAAACCATGAAGATCAAAAAGCCTCTTAAAGAACTCAAGCTCTCTGTCCCGGCACAGAATTCTAATATATCTAGTTTCCTGTATTGAGCACCCTTAATAGTATTTTGTTCGAAACTTCTGTTAGTTAGCAGGTCCTGATATTCTGTTGTTATTGTGATGCAGGACAGCGAGCGGCACATTTCATGATGGAGATTTATTGCTGAACCAAAAGGGACTGCGATTGATTTCTGAGGAGAATGAATCCATTGTAAGTATCTTAGCATTTTGGTGAATTGATATGACTCTAGTACGAGTATAATGATGATGTGATGCATATAGGCAGGCAAAATTGAGCCTTTTTTTTGGATGAGAGCAATTTTAGTTTAGTTTTGTTCCACTTATTCTTAATTTTTCTCCCCATTTTATGTTGCTATTTCCCATGCCTTTCTCAGAAGTTAGAGTGTTTGTTTATTTACCTTGGTGTTTGGACGTGGAAAGATGTATCTTTTCACTACTGTTATTCTTTTCTTGGAATGAGGGATAAGGATATCCCACCTCTAATGCGGGATGCTCCCTCCCACAAAGGCACAACAATTAGATTGAATAGGCAGTCCTCAAAGTTTTTAATCCCGGGCCTATCTTCTATGGAAGTCTTCATTGTGTTTATTTCAATTGAATATGATATCAGAACTGTTTAGACAAGGCTGAACCATGATTTAGATCCAATTTTAAGGAATTTCTTCAGACATGGGTGTTGAAAGCCTATGCAAGTTGAAATAATGTTTGAGTTCTTTGAAACCTATGATATCTCCCGTGTGCAGCTAACTTGAACTTATTTTTTGCCATAACTTGCTGGGATTAACTAAGCCGTCAGAAACAAAGGATGTCGATCTTCAGTTCTCTCTTGAAGATCTTGAGACCATCAAAGTCATTGGCAAGGGAAGTGGTGGCGTTGTTCAACTTGTCCGACATAAATGGGTTGGGAAATTGTTTGCCTTGAAGGTTAGTTGCCACTGGTTTACTATGCAGCATTATTTTTCCTATTTTTACTTGTATACCATATAATCTTACAATGGAATTCAGTATTTTGTTATAAGAAATTTGCAATGCAATGTTGAGCAAGTGAAGTTTAATATTCAAATATACCTAATAGTAACACTAATTGGAAATCACTCATATCTCCTAAAATGAACACCTAATGGACATAAAACATGTAACAAGAGTTTCAGCTTTCTGTTTGCTCTTGTCCAAGAGCTTACTTTTTGACCTGTTTTTCCTGTTTGTTTAGCATAAGTTTTTATCTAAGTATTTATTGTTAGTCTTTCCAGAGTCCCATTTAAGTGATTATGGTGTTGCCACAGGTTATTCAGATGAATATACAGGAAGAAATCCGCAAACAAATTGTCCAGGAGCTTAAAATCAATCAAGCATCACAGTGTCCAAATGTTGTAGTTTGCTATCATTCATTCTATCACAATGGGGCTATATCTCTTGTGTTTGAATACATGGATCGTGGATCACTTGTCGACATAATTAGACAAGTTAAGACAATCCTTGAACCTTACCTTGCTGTTGTTTGCAAACAGGTGTGTGTGATTCTCCGAATTCACTCTTAACATCAGTTCAAAAACCATTCCAAATTCATAGGTCTCTTCGAAGACTAATGCCCTGTATTTCGATTACAGGTTTTACAAGGTCTCGTGTACTTGCATCACGAGAGGCATGTAATACATAGAGACATAAAGCCTTCAAACCTGCTAGTGAACCACAAAGGCGAAGTAAAAATTACAGATTTCGGCGTTAGTGCTATGCTGGCCAGCTCTATGGGTCAACGAGACACATTTGTTGGGACTTACAATTACATGGCAGTGAGTATAAATTAAAACCATTCAGCACCTTCAATTAATACTTACCCTTCTCTCTTATTTCGGCACTTTGTTTTAGCATCATCTGTAACATAAACGAGAAACACCACTTATGCCTAACTTCATCCTCTTTAGCCTGAGAGAATCAGTGGGAGCTCATATGATTATAAAAGCGACATGTGGAGCCTTGGAATGGTGATTCTCGAATGTGCTATTGGACGATTTCCTTATACCAAATCTGAAGATCAAGCAACTGGACCAAGCTTCTATGAGCTTCTGCAGGCAATCGTCGGAACCCCACCACCTTCTGCTCCACCAGATCAATTCTCTCCAGAATTCTGCTCTTTCATCGCAGTCTGGTAAGGTCCAAACAACATTCTTGATGTGAAATGAAACCCAAAATTTTATCCCAAAGTTGCAGCCAGACAACTTTTTCATTTTTGCATTCCTCCTAAGAAGAGATGTTTGATGCCGAAATACAAACACTGCAAAGTTGATTATATTATTTAGCTATTCATCGTATTGTTTTGTTGATGTGCAGCATACAGAAGGATCCTAGAGAAAGGGCGTCGTCTCTAGAACTGCTGGTTAGTTTTACATGTAACAAACTTACAAACATTCTGTCTGCCTCTCCTGTCTTTATTCTTACATGGTGAATGTGTTTTACTGACATGTATCGAATCAGAGCCACCCTTTCATAAAGAAGTTTGAAGACAAAGACATTGATCTCAGCATTTTGGTGGGGAGCTTGGAGCCGCCTGTGAATTTTCCCAGATAAACAATGCTGTGTGTTGGCATGTTCCATCTTGACGGAGACATTCAGGCCGGCGCTGTGCAAATTGTAAGAATTGTTGGACCAATGTTGATTCATATAATATGGAATGGTATGCTCCTTCCTCTTCTTATATACAATAAAGATGTACATTTATGGTGCACACAATTCACATTTGCGCAATCTCTTATATCTTTATTTGAGTTGTAGTTTAAGAAGATCGATTAGATTACTCATGTTCTTCTTTTTGAAAGATTATATAAGGGTGTGTTTGTTTGGGATTTGGATTTTGAGTTGGGATTTGAATAGCAAAAATTTTGAATTTGAATAGTTGTATGATGTGATATAAATAGGGTTTGATGTGATGTTTTGAATGTAAAATTGATTTTTAGTATAATATACAAAATAAAAAATAGGTATTTGATTTGATGTTTTTGGGGGGAAAAAATTGGATGAATAGTGCCACTAAAATCCTTCAAACAAACAGTGTGTTGAAGGATATGCATTGGCCTTTTATGGAGTATATGAAAGATTATATAATACTCTCGGATTATTTCAGAGGTATTACAATACCCTCGGCGATTGCCTGATCGCCGTGGGAATTTGCCGCTATGGGCTATGGCACCTTTATTTGGTTGGCGATTCTAATATTGGATTTGAGTCAAATGTGATATGACACCTCATTGATGTTATTATTATTATTATATAATTTTTTTAAAAAATTAAAATTATATAATAATAATAATAATACTTAGTATTATTATTATTATTATTATTATATGTGGAATTAGACTATTAATTTGATAATTGTATTAACTTTTATGGCCACTTGTGAATATGTTACTTTTTATTCTGACAATTTTGGCGAATTATGCTTTTTGTTGCTAGTGTAATTTATATTGAAATATATACTTCGTCTGTCCGCAAATTTATCAATTTTATTATTTTAGTTTGTGTAAATGTAATCATTTTATTTTTGTAGTAAATGTATATTCCATTAAAATATAAAATTACCTTCCTCTTCCGTATAATATTACAAAAATATCGTCATATAATATCACTTAAATTAACAAATAAACACAACTAATTATGCAAGTAAATCAGCATTCTTAAAGCACCTATACATCACATATCATTCTCTCACTCTCCACCCGCCACTTGATTATCTTCATCCCTTCCTCTCATCTCACCACCGCCGGTCCTAATTGCCGGCGATGTCCCTTCAACCGCAGTCCCCACCGCCGATGGAAGGTTATTTACCATTTTAATCCTTTCTTTTGCCGCCGAAGAAGAGTTTCAGGGGTGAAAATGCTACTTTGGCCGGTTAGATGAAATCGACCGATGGCGACGCCTCATCCACCATGGATCTTGCCAGATCTTGGTTGCCGACGTCGTTGTTGGCCTCGTCGCCGTTTATCGTGCCCGATTCGGAGACCAACAACTCAACGAAACCTCATCGACGGTGGATCTTCCCGGATATGGGTCGCCGATGACCTGTTTTGCGTTTGATCCGTTCATCATGCCCGATTTAGAACCCGAGTTCGAACCAAAACTCGCCGACGCCGGGGTTGTTCCCCACTGATCTCTTTTCCGTGGCTTTGTCCCGATGAAATCCGCTGGAATTGAGAAGGCTCTCCTGAACAACTTTTCCACTCCACAGTGGTCACTGTGTTGCTTTTCTTAAACATCTATTGCTCTCTCACCCTGAGTTCCGTGAAAGAAAGTGAAAGTTTTCATATAATGCACATCTTTCAATCTCGTTGATTAAACTTAGGATTTGTGTAAGTATTTCATATGATTAATTGTAACAATGTTATTTCATATTATAGGTTTGGTGGAACTTTTTGAGACAAACAGTTCAAAATTGTTTGAGCGGGGAAGTAATAATTTAGTTTTAAAAGTACTTAATTTATTACTTTAATTTTTTATCTTAATTATATTTAGTAATTAATTATGTTCAGTACTTAATTAGTAAACTGTGTTAACGTAAAATTAGTGTATTATCATTACTCTTTTAAAACTATAAATATTAAGAGGTATAATAGTCTTTATTATATCAATTGTATCTCCAATTTATGTGTAAAAAGTAAACGAATAGATATGCAGTAGAGTAGACGGTGAGAGTATTTGATTACAAACATTAAAAAATATTTAAGAAAATATTTTAGCATGTGTATATAAAATTTTAAATTCAAATAGTCAATAGTATTTTATAATTCAATATAGTATATATATTTAAAGCTTCACAAAAGATGGATTAATAGACCTAACACCAACTTCAACCGGGGCCAAATTTGAAGAATTACTCCATTTTTTTAGCATAATTTCTCCAACCGGCCTCATTCCCATTTCTAAATTTAGAGTAGTTTACAGTATTCATTTTTGGAGGAATACCGTAGCAAGCCTCATTTTTGGAGAAAATATTTTTTATTTGCATTTTGGTCCTTGAAGTTGAGATTTTTTTGTATATCTGGTAGTTTTAATTAATTAATTTATTGTTATTATTATTTGGTGTGATTTTTGAGTTTTGGCTATGATTATTATTATTTGTTGTTTGTAGTTTAATTTTGAATTTTGTATATTTGGTGTGATTCTTTAATACATAATATATTATACTATTATATAATAAAAATAAACAATACAAATTACACAATATAAATATTACATAATAAAATATTACACATAAATATTACTATGTATGTTTGGCTCTGAAAGTTCCATTTACTTTTTTCTATTGATATTTGAATATTAATTATTATAGAAAAATATAGTACAAATCAAGGAAAAAAGCAAAAATACTTATACTTATATCAGTGTTTTATAATACTATTATAATATAAGAATATTTTTAATGTTAAGCAAAAGGTAAACGAGACCCTTATAGCCGAACGGAAGGAGTATAATATAAAATTAAAATAAAACACAAGGATAATATTAAAAGCAACAATAAGTAAATTACTGCAATAGAAGAAAAGATACATATTAGTATGGCAGAAGATACACCACGTCGATGAAGATGCTCGGTTTCAGCAATTTCTTAGTCGACATAGACGGATAAAAGACAAAGATGTACATATGGCACTACGGAATGCATTAATAGATCATTTATGGGAAAACTATGTTAATCAAGAGGCTCGTAATGAATAGAATTTAGTTTAATTGTATTTTTATTTTCGCCCGTTATTTTCTCAATATATATGATTTCACCTTAAATTTTTACTTTATTTATTTTTTAAATCATTATTTTTTTACACAAAATAAATTAAATAATATAATTTATTACTCCTTCCTCCCCGTTTAATTTGTTTACTATTTCTATTTTCTTCATTTTCACATAATTTGTCATTTCTTTCTTAGAAATATAATTATACACTTTAGTCATATTTTAAAGTTTAAAATTTTATTTATTTTAATTAAACTATATAGTCATCTTAATCTTAATTTAAAATTATTTTTATTAAATCATAATTATTTTTACTAATACACTTCTTAATTATTCATTAATTACACAGTACCTAAAACTTTATTTTATAATCTAAATGAGATAAATTAGCCGGAACGGAGAGAATATTATTATTATTATTATTATTGTTATTATTATTATTATTATTTTAAAAATTGTCTTAGTAAAATAATTTGAATTTATTGAAAAGAAATTTTTGGGGTTAACATGTAAATATATATAAAAGTTGAATATAGAATATGAAATTGTTTAAAAATAAAGAATATATGTGAAATATTCTTTTTAGAGTAAAAAATAGAATGGATTGGAATGAAATTAAAATATTGAGAAAAATTTAGAAATTTTTTAAAAGAAAACAAAGGAATCGATTGAAGATGATCTAAGTCTTTCATATCATAAAAAAAATATATATATACACATTTAAAATGAAATATCAAAATTAATTATTATTGAAATTAAAAATTAAATCATTAAACAATATAAAAGAAACAAACACGGAATAATATGTAAAAGTCAAGTCACCATTCAACATGCCCTTTTGTGCTATGGCTCACCAATGAGTTCTTGGTTATATTTGTTAACTTTCTTTACAATAACGTCATGAATCCTTCCATAAATCACTAATGTAATTTTTAATCTTTTGAATCTATTTCTTTAATTTGGGTGTTTGGATTTTGACGTGGGATTTGAATAGTAAAAATTTTGAATTTGAATAGTTGTATGATGTGATATAAATAGGTGTTGATGTGATGTTTTGAATGTAAAATTGATTTTTAGTATAATATAAAAAATAAAAAATAGGTGTTTGATTTGATGTTTTTTTGGGGGGAAAAATTGAATAAATAGTGTAAATCCAATCCAATCCCCCAAACAAACACATCCTAGGAGGATTAGTACGGAACGAGTCACTTTAATAAATTTATTTTATAAGCCTACATACATTTATAATTTCCGTAACACTTACATGATATATACATAGCTTGCAACATGTTGTTTTTTATCGATCTAAAGGATGATCTGGTAGTACGATCATGAATTCGAGATTATGAGTTCAAACTCCAACGTTGATGAATAATTTTTTTGACCTTTTTTTTTTCTTTGGAATAAGTACAAAAAGTTTTCCATGAACTTTAATATATATATTTTTGTCTGGATTAAGAATCATAAAGATAACTAAATATAAATTTTTATTTAGCTAACATTCTTGTAAATAGAATCCTATATATATACACTAATGCTCGTCTTTGCGCGCTATGCCGCGCAACTTTTTGTTATGGTAAAATATTTTTTTTGATTCTTTTTTATATTAATATGTTGTATAAGTTCATTAGCCTGAGTATATTTTGCATTTTAAATTTCTTGAAAAGAAAAGATAATATAAATATATCTTAGGGAGAAAAAGAGAAAAAAAAATGTTGATCTAGTTAGTCTTATGAAAGAAAATGAGAATGAGAGAAAAAAATATATATTTTAGAAAGAAAAGAAAAAAAAAATGTTGACTGAATTAGTCTTGTAAGAGAAAGATAATATAAATATATTTTATGGACAAAAAAAAAAAAAGAAAATGTTCAACTTAATTAGTCTTAAGTAAATTAGTCTTATGAAAGAAGTACAAAATAAGAGAAAGATAGAGAAAAATAATTGTTGATGAGTTTGCTTTTTTTTTTTTTTTATTATTGTTAAAAAGATTATTCTATACAAAATAATACTCTCTTCGTCCCCCATAACTATAGTCTAGGTTGTGTTTGACACGAGATTTAAAAAATATTGATATTATATAGGTAGTTGGTAAAAAGTATGGGTAAAAAACTTTTTTGCCCTTGTGAGTGTACTAGTG